ATTTACTATGCAAAACTTGACACACATTTGATTTTAGGGTAGTGCAAGCAGTTAAAAGTATAATGTGAAAAACTTAATTTTAAAGGACAAATGAGACTACGGTCATAACTAAACGGGTCAAAGCATAATTTGTCCTTAATTTATTTTATATCAAACTTCGGTTGATAATAATGCAAGTTTGAAATTCTAATTCAGTCAAAGATGAGGTGAGCAAGAACGTAGTAGAAACATGTTAATCATTTTGTTTCAAGTTTAAGATCTGAATTCTATTTTCTTATGTTGTTAAAGTTAAAAGCTTATTATTATCCTCTTTTCTCTTCAAAACAAGTTAACTAAATCAAAATTATTTTATTCAAAATCGGGCATTTTCTTTATTATGGAAAATAAATAATTTTTCTAGTGCATAAATTTACATTTAAAATAGTGGTTACTTTATTTTGAAGTGACGGACAACCATCCCTAAATACAAACGTTCCCTTCAACAACAGGAGACTTAAGCTTATCATTAATACTATTGCTTTGTCTCAGATATGGCTATGGGACTAGTAGCAAATGTTTTAATATATATTGAAATCAATTTATAATTGTAAATTTAGGTTTAATTTATTTATAATCATTAATGATAAAAATAAATAAAAATATAAAAATTATACATATATAATATTCTTATTAAAGAAAACAATAAAATATAATATATCAAAAAATTATTTTTTAAGTGGCGCCAAAAAAAATGCACCACATCACATGCATAATGTAGGTGTTTGAGGTGTAGTCTAGGCTGAACCTTCTTGTCTTCTACTCATTGGTCAGTTGGTGAAAAATAGGCCAGCAGAGTCCTCCTTCTTAGGACACTTGGCCCCAGGGCAAAGGTCAATCCTTGTGTATAATGATTATTATATAAGTTGCATGCAATCTTGGCCCCACAATGAAATGACAAGTGTGACATTAACCAATCCTTAAATGACAAATATGACACTAATTTATATCATTTTTTTCTAATCTTCACCTGCCTAGGGCAACTATGGTCTTACAAAGTTGGAGCATTAGAAGGAGTTCTTATCACCCTCAAAAAAAGATGCAACAATCTTCATGCCAATCCATACCCAAAAATATACATATACCCCGCCCCCCCTTCTCACCCCACCCCAAACAGCCCTAGCAATGGATCAGCATTGGTCTCCTGTTTGATCGATGGCCTGACCCTCGAGAACGGACTTTGTTACAGATCCAATGTGTCTTCATGCTGTGTAAGTAAAGGAAGATAAGGATCTTCAAGTCAATTGGCAAAGAGCTCTTGGAGTCTTCCTCAATCTGAGGGATGCCCTGGAAGAATCAGACCAAGAGTCTTGTGCTCAAATTCAGCTCAATTATTTCTTCTTTTTCGGATCAGCATCGTACACGGAATAAAAGATTTTCGTTTATAATGAGGTTGGAAAGAAATATATAAGTTATTATCAACAATCTTACTTTTTATTTTAAAGATGTTAATTCTCATAATGAAACTCAAAATGTATTATTTTAACATGTAAACACGTTTCAAGATTTCAAATGCAATATATCTTTAACAAGGAGTTTGTATAAACAAATATGAAATAAAATAAAAAGTTGAACTACATTTTTTTTGATATGTCACGGTAGTTTGGAAGTCGAATAAACTAGTGGACCCCCCCCCCCCAAAAAAAAAAAAAACCCTTTTTTTTGGTGGTCAATGATTAATGATATAATTTAGAAATTTAGATGCTCTCAATTGGTCTCCGTATAAATAGTGAGTAATTTATTATTGCGTAAAATTATGTAATAAAATTAGAGTAGAACTCGATCCGTAATTTAGAATAAAAAAAAGCTTAATTTAAAGGGATTGGATCATTGGTTGGGGGTGTGAAAGGTGATGTGCTTTTTGACCTAAACTTATGAAAGGGTTGAGTGTTGGCAAGGTAGTTATAGCCCGACTAAAGACACATTCTTTATGGAGGGACCAACATGTTTGGAATCAGAATATCCTTTCACAGTCAAATTATCCAAGGTCTTATCCTATTAGATTTTAATTTCGATCAAATTTAATTATTTATCTTTGAATTGATTATGATACTTGTAGCTTGTGGGCTTTTAAAATGATCACTCTCATCATAATCTGGCAATCTTAGATCAAAATCTTCAAAAAAACATTGTTAAAAGATTAATGAGATTCAATTTCCCACCTACCAAATTGGAACATAGCAATTCTCTTGAAAGCTAATATGGCTGAAAATTTATTAGACTAGTATCGCCAAAATTAGTGTTGAGAATTATAAAACGACAATTTCTACCGTCACTAAGGAGTAAATATTCAATACAATGGTGATACTACTTTTACCCAAAGGTGTTCCAAAACCATAAGATTGATCAAGGATAGCTTGTCTGTTTTGAATGAGAGAGAAGATACTATTGTTGTTTCTCAAATAATCCACTCACTGCATTATTTTCTATAGCTGGAGAAGCACATTTCCTAGGCTCCTACAATTACAACGGATGAACTCAATTGCCTTATCCACTGGTTATGGCTTCACACGCCCTCTACAATTTGGCAGTAGAATTTTGAAGACAAGAGTAATGCTGTCAAGCTGTTTCCCAAGTATCTTTTTTGATGAGGTAACAATAACATCAATCAATATGATAAAACTGAATAAATCAAACATGCAAAGTGTTTCCTTTTTTTTTTTTTTACTTTCTCGAGAAATTATTTTATATATTTTTACATATTCAAATCAATTCCAGTAATAGCTTTCTTTTGTTTGTTTTTTTTCGTTATTAGATCACTTGTTATAAATCCAAATAGGACCAATTCTACTGAAGTACTCCCCCAATCAAGATGTTGTGGGTGATACAGCATTGAAGAAGTATAAGGAATTTAGTATTAAGTCTTTTATCCAAACTAAAACTTGTGAATTTGGGAAGTGAAAGAGTAGTGGATGGAAATTCTTAGTGGTAATATTCGATGATTTGTTCCCTTTTCAAACATATGTTTTCTATAAACTGAAGTGAAGACAATACCATGGTATCGAAGTTTTTACAAATTATGGGTGACGTTATAATTCAATCTGATGAAACTATAACAAAATGAGATTGTTTGAGACAGATATGTCACCAAACTTTTCTCTTAAAAGGCTTAAATGGTGGGTGGCATTTTTGGCTTTCCCATCATACTAAACATAGTTAAGTTTCCCAAAACACCAAGCCAACGTAGTCAACCAGTAGTCGAAGTGGGTCTGTCTCTGCGGAATATGTAACAAAGCTTCACACCGAAAGACATTTTAGTATGACTAGAACCCAATGGTCCCATGCTTTCCCCACATTAAAAAACATGATACGCCATTAAAAAACAGATTGTGATGCAAAGTAATATGAAGGTGTCTAACTAGGTTTTGGGGGCCCATAATTTTTTCCCCCTCATTCTCATCTTGCCACTCTTTTAGAACCTATTTTATGTCTCCCCCTCATCAGTTTGTCTACCACCCCCAGTTTCCATCTCAATCAAGCCTTTCAAAGAACACCATCTCTCTCTCTCTCTCTCTCTCTCTCTCTCTCTCTCACACACACACACAGACATTCATTTCCTTGGGTTGGGGATAAGTTATATGCTCATGCATGATTCCTCCTTTTTAATTCTTTCTCAAGTAAGATTCCAACATTATGGTTCTAGAGATGATCAGAAATATATAGTCTAATCCCCATGTGTATAGAATAGTTTGTGTTCCTTGTACATACGATATCTAGATCATAATAAAACAGTTTTATCACTACAAATAACCAGTCTTGGCCAACATATGTGGTTAACTAAAGAACACGCAAATAAGAACCTAAAGTGTAATCTTAATGAGTTTCCCAGAGTCAAAAACAAATGGATGAACTCACAAGTAATGTTATGTCTAATGGTCTCCTTCACAATTAGAAAATCCTGTCCAGAAAAGCACCTTGCTAATGTTCAACAAATGAAAACATAGATTTTTTATACCAAATGACAGTTACTGCTTCCAAAGAAACCAAACACATACAACACAAATTAAATTCTTAAGCAATAATATAACCCTTCTAAGCATATCAAGAAAGAGAGACAACAGCTTCTTGGCCCTCTATTATACAGGATACTAACATGATACAATGTTGTGCTTAGTAGGCTCAATATAATACGGCTACTCTTTGGCTTCAAGTCAAAGAAAACGTAGGTAAAAGGTGCTCACAGCATCATTGAGGTCACAGTTGTTTTGGTCTTCTAACTTGATTCTAACTAGTTGCAAGAAGTCAAGAAAATCATTTAACAAATATCATAAAGCAAGCTTGTGAATGGAACATGTCGTCACATAACTCATGTGAATTGAGACTTTCCAGCTTGTTTGCCTAACCTCACTGCAGAATAATATTTCCTAGTGCAGCATATCAAACCCCCTTCAATATGCCTCGGTCATGATTCATCTTGCATATTGCATTCTAGAAAAAGTTAATCAACATAATATAGTATTAGCACTTTATTTCAGCCAAAAGGAAGAGAATTGTATGGTATATCAATCTGCCATCTGCCATCTGCCAAACTTCCAAAACTAATTTGATGGAGCAAATTTACTTCTAGCCGTGAAGACAAGGCTTCTCAAACTCTGAAGACAAAGGAAATGTCATCCTTCAGTTGAGCAAAATTATATTTTGACCACTTCATCAGTCCCTGCTGTGATCATGTGCTAATTTCTGATGAAGGGTTAATTGAAGGGTCCAAAATTAAACATACAGCAGTACACCAAATGTATAGGGAATTCTCCCAGCTTCTATTGTGTTGACTCCAGCTCTAATTTCTCACAGAAAGTTATTGCATAGTATGCCATCATAATCTTTTTAAGGTAAGAGTTCTACCAGAAAAGCTTCATGGCTTTGGCAGCCACCTCTATGTCTTACAAACGAAGATAGGAAAGAAAAATATGTTCAGCCTACTGTGATTTTAACAGTTAGCACAAAGCTCTCTGATGTTAAAGTAATCATGCACTGACACACTGAGATATGTCATAAGATAACAAATCAAGGGTTTGGTAGATGTCATCTGACTCCTGATGAGATTCGTCCCTAGTGGTAAAAATGTGATTCCTCCCTCTTATATCAAGCCAACTACAACCCAACTCTTTTCTTGCCTCTTTTTCCTTCATATGCCTCCTCATCTCAAGCACCTCCTTCCATTTCCCTGCCATTGCATAAATTTCAAGGGCCATCAAGCATGCACTTGAGTTAAAATGTTCAAGTTTTAAAATCTGATCAGCCACACAGACACCCAATTCCAAATCACCATAAATCCTACATCCATTCAACAATGTCCTCCAAAAGACGGTGGTAGGCTCAAAGGGCATTTGGACTATTATCTCATATGCTTCTTTAAGTAACCCAGCACGTGCAAGGAGGTCTACCATAATCGCAAAGTGCTCAGGTCCGGGTGAAATCCCATAATCCATCTCCATACTGTAAAAATGTTGCTTCCCTTCTTCTAGGAGTCCACAATGGCTACAACCATGTAACACTCCCAAGAAACTAATACCATCTGGCAAAAACTGAGCTTTTTGTATCTGATGGAAAATCATCATAGCCTCTACACCATAACCATGCTGCGCAAAACCCATAATCAGAGAATTCCACGTAACAATATCAGGTTGAGGTAAGTCCACAAAAACACGCCAAGCATTATGAAAACTACCACATTTGATGAACATAGAAATGGCTGAATTACCAATGTGAGTGTTCCGCTCAAATCCTCTTTTAAAGAGTTGACAATACATTTGTTCACTCAGTGAAAGCATTGCCAGATCAGCAGACGCTGCCAAAGAACTAGTAAACATATGAGAAGTGGGCTGAATTCCAATCAATAACATTTCTTTAAACAACTTCAAGCTTTCAGCTGTAAGCCCATTTTGCTGAAAACCTGATATAATTGAAGACCACGAAATTGAATTAGTCTCAGGCATTTGCTTAAACAACCACCAAGCATCATCGAACCGTGAGGCTTGGCATAATGCAGTAATGATGGCCGTCCAACTGACGACATCTTTATCTGGCATTACTATAAATAGCTTCAATGCAATGTTTGTCTTCTTTTCTCTTGTGTAACCCATGATCATGGAATTCCAAGAAACAGGTGTCTTATTAGGCATTTCATCAAACAGGTCCCTTGCATCCCCCATCCTGTTGTTCTCAATGTAACCCTTGATCATCACATTCCAAGATACAGAATCTCTGCGACCCATCTGATCAAAAATCTTCCTTGCTCTATCCACTTCTCTTTTCGTTGAGTAATCTAATATTCTCTTTGTGAGTGTCACCATATCTTCATTCTTTGTACTGTACAATACACACCGCCCATGCCCATTTTGGGCATGCACCATAGGCATTATAGTTATGTTATGACAAAGTTTGGCGGTGATATACAGAGATTTTATTCTTCCACTACTCTTACATAGTGAAGCAACCATTTTCTAAGAAACGTGACTGAAATAGGAAACATTATTCCAGAATCAAGTTGAACCCTTTGGGAGGTTTTTATGGTTTTTGACACCATCACAAACTTCTTCCTTTTAAAATTCTAAATATTACTCTGATTTCTAATCAAAGTAATTCCCCGAAAAAACTGACCTAATTACAGGGACATCCCTTATAGTTTTTAAAATATCAGTGTCAACCCTCTGTCAAATTTTGTCTTGAACCGATGTAACAGAAAATATTAAATGACATTACTACCCCGAATATTTATTCCTTTGTCCTATACTTATTACTTAATTTTACCTTAGATTAAATTCTTATTTAACCAACATTAAAATAATTTCATCATAGTTAAATTACTCTTATTTTTTTGTATACACACACGTAGACATTTATATATATATATATACACACAAATATATATTATATAATAGCGATAATAAAATAAGAATTAAATATTTTAAGAGTAAATAATAGGCATCCTTATTTATACGAGTTGTTACATATACCCTGAATTGACGTTCAATTCACCAAATTAATTTTCAATTTTATCAAATTAACATTAATTGACACTCAATTTCATCAATTCAAATAATATATTGTCATCACACTAACACTAATTTTATCAATTTAACACTAAATTAATATTTAATTTCATCGAACTAATATTTAGCTTTATCAAATTAATATTTAAAATTTTAATTTAGTCAAATTAACACTCAATTATTTAATTTATAATTTAGTTTTATCAAATTAACATTGACTTGAACTTCAATTTTATGGAATTAAAATTCACTTTCATCCAATCAACACCTAATTAATCATTTTAATAACAATTAACATTCAATTTTATCACACCAACATTGAATTTTATCAAATTAATATTTGATTCCATGATATTAATATTAATTTTATTAATTTCATACAAAATTAAAATTTTAACTTTATCAATTTGAAACCAAATTAACATTCAAGGGTGAAATTTGTATTGTAATAGTTGGTGAAGGATAAAATTTTGAGCAATGCTACATGAAATTAAAAAGTAGACTAGATAATTACAACCATTAATTTTACTGTGGAGCTCAATATTTATTGAGACTCAGTCCCTATTCAATAGTTGAGATTATCAAGTTTAGTTTTTAAGTTCATCTAACATTACTCTAAAATTGGACGAACGTGTTTTTTGTATGTACCCCGTACATGTGTGCTTAAGTGTATATGTGTGGTATAATTGGCGTGTGAGATATTAAGAAGATAAAATTGTAGGATTAAGACTAATTTTTATTGATAAAAGAATAGCAGGATTTGGATGCAAGTTTAAATTCAACTTTAAAACTCGAACTTGATGCCGCCATGGTAATGTTATCTAATAGAAACCTATACATTGCAAGTTCTTTTTTCTACTCCAAAATCAACTATTTTTGTACCATTTATGTAAACCTTTTTTTACAATTGAAATTCATACATCATTTCTTCGTATCAATAAAAGGTTTGATCAACTCTGGGAGTTGGATTTCGAGACATGAAACTCAAATGTTACACACAAATCAGGTGCAGACATTTGTAAGTATCAAGAGAAATTTTGAGGGTAATGAAAATAGATTTTTGTCGTGGAAAAAAATGAAATCAAATGTCAAATAGACAAACAAAGGCATTCTACACTCAAAATAATAATATTAGATAAACTTAAAAATTAGACTTAATAATTTCAATCATTGAATAGATAGTGGTCCTAATAAATATTGAGACCTACAGGGAAATTAATAATTAAAATTATCATATTTACTTTTTCATCCACTCAAAAAGAACTCTGTCCGTAATTATACTCTCCAAAGAAATAAGAGGACAATTTACGTAAACAAGAAGCTTTGCAACCCTTAAAAATCTTGCATCTTCACCACCCAACAGTATTAACATAAAAGAACAGACCTCAGAAAAGTAATTATTACATCCCCACTACCCCTACCACACCCCCCCCCCCCAAAAAAAAAATTAATAATAAATAAATAAATAAACAAAACAAACCCCCCAAAGGTTCACCTTACTTATCATCAATTGAAAAGTCAGGTTCCACTGGCTTTTGCAATGAGCTGAGGAGGTCAAATTCAGAAATACCCCTCTTGCTCCCACCCTTTCTATTGCTTGCTGCAAGTGTTGCGGCATACATGGCCAACTCCGAGGCCTTCAGGGGCAAGGACATACCCGTTTGCTCGACTGCCGGTTCAGGCGGAGGCGATACACGGCCTTCCTTAGCCTTGAGTCTAGCTGCTTCTATCCTCCTTTTGTACCTAAACCAAGCTGCTTGTATAAAGCAAGCAGCCCAAGTTCTCCACTGATGTGAGTGAAACCTGAATGTGTGCCTCATTTGTTTGCTATGCAGCTTTCGGAATTGTGATGCTACAAACTTCACATCCTCGGAAATGAAAGCAAAAGCTTCCACTTCAGAGAGGGCTCTCACTGTCCGCGTGGAAGAAGGGAGAATGACACTTGGATGCGGGTCCAAGGCCCAGGTTAAGAGTTCCTCGCCACAGAAATCACCAGGGCCAATACGGCATGAGTTGAGAAATCCAGTGCGGCCTCCATCAGTCGTGTAGGAATCCAGGTGCCCTCTAACGATAAAGAGCATTTCGTTGACGGGGTCCCCTTCGCGGACTAGGCAGGTGACTGGGGTGCATAGAACAGGCTTTAACCTTTCACATATTGCGTCTAGCATACACTCATCCATCTGATCGAATAGTGGCACCTGTTTTATATTGATAACCAAAAGAGCATAATCAGGTAAGGAGCTTATTTTCTCCATGTTCTACGGTACAGAGTCGTGGTCATTTAGCAAGTGTTTGTATGTATTATGATATGGTCATGAGGCACTCAATAGACCTTAATCTTATAAAATCTTTTCTGTGCATTGGATTGATGCAAAACTACCTCTTTGTACAATCTAATGTATAACCATATCTCAATTAGTAATGGCGAATGGCTGCTCGCCTGATTTGGCATCTAGACAATGATTTTATTGGAGGGAATTGTTTGTCTTCTACTAGACAATGTATGGTAACCAGCAAAACAGGTAATCTAGAGGGAAAAATGCTTTCCACCAGTTTCACAAGTTCTCCAATATTCTTCATTTATGAAAAGAAGGAACGAAAACTTACTCGTCGAACTAGATCAAGGCAGAGATGACGCTTGATGTCCCGTCGGAGATCCAAGGGAAGGCCTTCAAGAATAACTTCTTCATCAACTCCCCGAGTTGTAACCCATTTATATAAATCATAGTTTCGCACACACTGTCTCAACTCATGGGGCAGCTGCCTGTGACGCATCCATTCTTCTGTATCAGTTCTTTTAACCCTCCACTCTTCTAGTCGTACAGTTGTGGACTGGAGGAATGTCTATTTATAGAAAAACAAGCACCTGAATCTTAGATATTTACCAGTTTGGAATTTAACAAAGAAGTAATTCATATTTTCTGGTTTGAAAGATCATTTAGGATTTCGTATGGAATTTTGAAGTTGCTTCACTAGCAAAAGTGTTTACTGAAATGTTTCAAGAAAAGTACAACAGAAAGGTCTAGCTCACTTTAACAAATATGGTTGGAATTTGTTAGATTACTAGAGACGTGCAAATGAACCTTATTTCATATTATACTTTCGCTATTGCTATACTTACTTGCATATTTCCAATAAGCAATGCAAAAAACACCAACCCAAGAATTGCGATGATAATGGCAAAAATATTTTCTCCTTTATATGTGCTTGTGCTGAGGTTCTGCCCTATAGAGCTGCCAAATCAATAAGAACGACCATGTGGTTAGTTTGAAATATCCTTGGAAGATGCTTTCATCTGCAGAGAGTAGAAAAATAAGTTTAAGAACTAAGTAGTTTTAAATCTCCTAAGTGGATACTTCATTTTTCTGCAAAGTTATTTTAATTGTTTTCAATCCCCTGTTAAATGGAATGGTTTCATCTTTCCCCTAGATCCTTGTAGTTACCTTAGGCTCCTTAGGCCCCACCAAAGACAGTAAAGGTACTTGCTCAAGAAATTTGATGAGGTAACATCGAAAAACACTGCATCTCCGTAGATTCCAAATTGGAAATCACCAGCTGCACCACATAGGCTGGAGATGTTGCTTGAGTTGAACCAAGCAGCTCTACCAGAATCATACATGGTGCGACAATCAAAATACCAATACTGGCAACTCGGATGTTGCTGATTACAAACTTCTTTCCAACATTGTTCCTGTCGATCAATCGCTAAAAGGTACCAACAGGAACCAAGAACCTTCATAAAAATTGAAATTAATGAACAATTTTGCTTGAAGAATCACATTATTAACCACAAGAGAGAAGAGAGAGGGAGAGAGAGAATCCAAGACTGACTTCAGTATCTGATTCCCACTACCTTTTAAAATCCCAAAGCAAAACTCATGAAGAATCATATATCTAACATGTCTCCGCAAAGCATATGTATTACTACATTGATTCTGTGAATAAAATGCTTCAACAGTTTTGCAAGGATAATAATTAAGTGTTTCACAAAATTGAGAATCGAAATAAAAGCTTACATGGCTCGCCAACAAATAGAGTATCAGATTATAAGCTGCCCCGACCCATGCTGCTTCCACCACTACCCCAGTGTTCTTAATAATTTGTGATGAAAGTGGAAAGATAAGATATAACCTCAGCTGGAACTGACAAATGATAACTAAGCGTAATACAATTTTCACATTTATCATCCTCGAACCTCTTAGACATGGGATTGCACCCCAAATCAACACCTGAAAGAGTTTTCGGAAAAAAAAATTCATTCATTCATTTTGAAAAGAAAAAAAAAAGAAGCAAAGGTGCATCATCAATTACCCCAGAAAGACCAAAAACATTTATCATAATGAAAGTTCACAGGCTTTTCACACCAGGGAATTTTGTTTTTGAAAAGTCATACTTGAGTTTCATACTATAATCTAATTTCTTGTTCAATCAAAGTTAGTAATCTAACTTTTTGTTCCATCAAAGTTAATGAAGCTAAGTACTACCTCACAAGAGAGAAATTGTTACTTGTGGTTACCTGTGGAAAAGGTAGAGCAGCCAACATATCAAGCCAAAAGTCTCTCCGAAGATACCTTGAAGCTATTTTTGTAGAGTCAATAACTAGCTCTCCTCTCCCAAATACACGGGAGGAAGGAGCAACATAGGCTGTTCGAAACCTAACAAAAATCTGAATCACGTAAAATGCATCGACTACTGACCGGATGAATGTAAGGCCTATCTCAAGGGGCACACTTGCATCCATGCACATATCCTTCTTAACCTCCGGAAAATAAAAAAATAGGGGGTCGACAAACAGGGAAATCATGCATGCAACTAAGAAACATTTGTTCCAATTGTTCACAACAGTTCCTCGAGGATCTAGTATAATCCTCTGCACTACATCGTAATCCTCAGAGAAAACTCTTAGAAGTTTTTTCTCCTTAAATGGCTTTCCTGTGGTGCCCGCCTCAGTATTCTTCAAGCATGACTTGGGTGTTAGTATCCCATTCATCACAGACGTGAGCTTGAACAAACTGCCTTTTTCTGGTGTTGCAAACTCAGTAGTTTCAAGATCATCTTTAAATCTGAAAACAAATATCTGGTCATTAACATATCCCAATTGTTACTAGCACAAAGCATTATTATAAAGCAATAGTCACCGTTAATACTAAAGTTTATAACACAGGTTTAAAGAAGAAAATGTACAAACCTAACAGATTTTGAATTACCAAAGTTCATTGTGCTCAGATTAGGCGAGAGTGGTGTGGGTTCAGTTGGAGGGTTTGATCTGCAATGAAATAAAACAAAGCCAATGTAAATATACGGACGTGCATCACCAGAAATGATAAGATTTACAAACTCATCGACACAAAATAGACGATCTTCACCTACTTTTTTCACCTTAAACAATGTGGAAGATGTATAACCTAGAAGTACCCTCTCAATATCTAACAGAAATCGAGATAAAACCTTAGTTTCATGTCCTTTCCTCATAAATCCTACAAACACATTCTTAGATTTCATTGGCCGATATTTGAAGAATCTTCCATGCATGTTATTTTCATTTAAAATGTCAAGGTAACAGAGTGTTCATGGCCTTGAAACTAAGGCATAAATGGAGCAAAATGAACAAAAAAATGAAGACACAAACCCCAATTGTGAAAAACTTCATCGAGCCGTGTGTAATGATAACTGCTGCATGAATAAATTCGTTTGTCACTAGAATTGAAGAAGAAAATGGTGCTTGAGAGGACAACAATTGGTAAACATAAAAAAATTATAACTTGGCTAAAATAGTTTGTTACAAGAACGCGACTGACTGATTGTTTGAATTTAGATGTAGACTAATCTCTAAAAGGTATCTGTCAAACCAATGAATTAACAACAGAGAGAGAGAGAGAGAGAGAGAGAGAGAGAGGAACCTGTACCATATATATGACTACAATCCGAGAATGAAGAAAACAACTGTCATCCTCCTCTTATGAGCAATCTAGTGAAACAGAACATAACATCAAGAGAACTGACAAACATATTTATGTTTTTCTAACTCCACACACATCTTAGCTGAAATTCATATCCAAAGAAAACCGTGTACCAATAATGATTGAAGCTATGATAAGCCTTATATTTGCTGATAATATAATACTGAAAAACAGAGAAAGGTATTTTGTGGGAGACAATGGAACAGTAATACATACTGTTTTGAACTTTGAACACTCACCCTACCATTTCTCATGTGGTCAACTTGAAATTTTGTACATGTTTAAATTATTCTCATTTCAGAATCTTATGAAAATGACCAAAAACTTGAATGTTTTGAGTTTTTGACTACTGTTTTTTTCATTTTCCGGAAGTGGAAGTGTAAATTGTTACGAATGGGTCAGCAAAAGGACAGAGAGGTGGATCCATTTGGCTGGGTCCAATACCAATGGAATTATATATATATATATATATGTTAATTGGTTCATTTGTCGTTGTAATAAGTTATGCAATTTATTACCATAAAATATCAAGTTTGAGTGTTACAAGAGATGTTTAAATTAGTTTGATGAGCATAATTTACGAATGATTATTTGCATTCCCGAGCTTTTGTTATTGCCGTGAAACACAGGTGCTTGGATAGGTCTTGCTTATGAACAAAATAAAAAATATCAAATGTTGGCTATTAGATAATGGATCTGATTGATTTTATTAGATATCGAATAATTGTAATTATACCATGTTAAGTGGTGAATTCGTAAGGTAGTGCACAAAAGTGGTGTGCACATCATTACCTCTTAATATCTGAATTTAGACTAGAAATTTCACACTTAGGTCTCATCACATAATAACCCTCAAATCAAATCCAACAAATCAACCCTAGCATATTTAAAGAAATTTATACCCCCATCTCCCACCAATGCATGAAATGGCCACTGGAGGAAAAGAGTTGTGCTCGAAAGTGCCTTATTTCTAACTGGAGAGAAATTTTCAAGACTAATTAGAAACTCTTGGATGTTGACAAGTATTTGCAGTTTAAATTGTAAATGAAAAGCGTTTATTGTACCTACTACTTAATATGGAGACCTAATTCATTAAAACTGGCTGTCGTGTTTCAAGAAAACCAAGTCCCATCTAACACGATCCCCAAATTAGGAACACAAACAGTGAAAAGTTCAGGTGGGTTGGTGGGCTTAACCCAAAAATTAAAATTTGAAGTTTCGAACTGCTGTCAATAGAGAATGTCTGCAACTTTACCAGCTTCTAGATTATTATTTTAATTTTCAAGATCTTTGGTACAATTTGTACTTACCACAACATCAACGTTTCCCCGGGGGTGTCCAAGGGTAGAGCAGGCAAAGCACACGAATTTTTTTTTTGGGGCGGGCTTAGGTACTGTAGACTAAAGCCTTTACCCAAGTGAGTTGTCGAATGGGTTGGGTTGGCCTTTCGGTAGGGATAGACTACCTGCAATCCAACCTACGAGCCTATTGGACGGGCTTATGAGCGGACTTGTTTACTGATTTTTTTATATACAATTTTATTTAAAAATAATAAATATTTTTATAATTTAATATTTGTGTAAATTATATTTTTAAATCAAAAATAGAGTCAAGAATAAAAATAAACTAATGAATAATTTTTTTTTAATTAAATTATGAACTACATCCAATAGAATGAATCCATCTCAATTATGTTAACATCTATTCACTTACCTATCAATTGTATTACTCTATCTTTTAAAAATTATATGTTTAATACATGATAAATAAAATAATATATTATTTATAATATCCAAATTTTTAAAACTTCAAATTCAAATTTCCATATTATGAAACTTATTTTAAAATTTTAAATTTAATAGTGTAAAAATATTACTTTTTTTCAAATGAAAGGTGAATGAGCTATGTGGACAGGTTGGGCTTAACGGACAGACTTGACGAGCAAGCTCTTGAGTCGAGTAATGAATTTGAGAATAAACTCAAACCCTCTTTTTAAGGATATTGAACTCGGACTCGAGCTCGGGCCAACTATCGAGCTGAATTTTGGGCCTATTTTTTGGGCCGAGTAACAGATGGGTGAGTAACCCGATTCATGGGCATCCCTAGTTTCACCTGCACATTCATTTAACAATCACAAAATTCTCACACTACATAACATATGAGAAAGACGTTAAATCCAACAATCATCTGCCTTTACACCACCAAAAATGATAAGCGATGGATTACAAATCACTCGTCTGGAGCATATTCAGAACATACATGGCAAAAGTTCAACAAACTCGTGCTTTCGCTCCTGTTAGTCAGGAAGCAGAGACCAAGTTCAAAAGTGCAGCTTTGGTTTAAGGAGCAAAGAACATGAATTGCACATCGTTTGATGAACTCCTGACATATCTTGTAGCTGCATAGTCCCAGTACCTGATACAGAAATCAGTAGATTTATTTCAAATAACACCAAGAAAATAACCACGGAAAACTAATCTTCATCAAACAGCAAAAACTTTTACATATTTGGTTAAGGAAAACAATAAACTTGACGATTTAAGAACCAGAATACAAAACCAGAGAATCTCCCGCAATATGTCCACATGTATTACCAGGGGCGGAGCTATGTGTAGATGTGTGAGGGCAGTTGCCCCCACTGACTTTCGAGAAATTAACAAATATACACCGTGATTGTGACAAAATTATGATTCATTTAACTTATTGCCCCCTTAATTTTCTGAAAAATTTTATACACTTCCTTGTACTTTTTTAAAAATAGTTATGTAGTTGTCCCTAATTCATTTTTTTTTTTAAATTAGTAACTCAAAACCTAGTAACACAATTAATAGACATATAGCAAATGATAAAATGTGTTAAACTAAAAGTGTTAATGCCTTTTTAAAAACATCAATTTCTCAACAAGATTAAAAGAAATTATTTTGAAATATCTTTTAGAATTGATTAATTATATACAATAATTGGAATTTGAAATAGCATTGTTGTGTTTTTTTTTAATATATGACTAAGTTAAAATGTGCAATAAAAATATTATTATTTTTGTTTGTTCATATTGAATTAATTTTTTATTTTTAATTTTCATTCTGTAATTAAATCTTTGATCTTAACATACTTCTCATAAGTGAACTAAAGAATTTTTTGAGTGAAACATGCACCTAATTTAGTCATTATTAATGGACACTGCAACAAAATTTGTGTTTTGCGACGATTTTTTCGTCGCTAAATTAAAAAAAATTAAAATTTTTTATTTACATAAAAATTTATTGGTGACGCTGTTTAAAACGTCACGAAAACTTAATTAAATTATTTTTATTTATGCAAAAAAATATCTGTGATGTTTTAAAATGTTGCAAAAAAATAATTAAATTATTTTTTTATTTAATTTGTCAAATCCCGCAGTTTCTTCTACCAAATACAAATTGGAGAGAATCGCCTTTTCGCGACGTTTTTAAAAAAACGTTGCAAAAAATTGCCAAAATAAAAATTTAGATTTTATTTTACTTTAAATTTTAGATTATTTATTTTTGCGACGAGATAAAACTATTTACAACAAAAACTTTTTGTCGTAAAAAATTGTGACAATTATAAAATCGTCGCAAATAATAAACTTTTTGCGACAAATTTAAAATCGTCGTAAAAAATATCTTTTGTTGTAGTGGGAGATGCAGAAATTTTTTTAATACGGGCTGATTATATTTTTTATTTATGATTTTGCCCCCACTATGATAGAATCTTAGCTCCGCCCGTGTATTACCAAATGAATAATAAAAACAACTCTCGGCATTTGTAAACATCAAGACAGCTCTGGCAAAATGCATATTTATGACTAATGAACACAACTCTGTTCATTTGCTTGTCAAGCTTAATAATCCCTCGAGACATAATGCATCCTTATCTTATGATATAGATATAAACATTGACATACATAGATGCACATATATGCACGCGCCCACGTGCGTGCGCGTGCGCTAGTGTGTGGTGTCAGTATATTAGCTGCTCTAAGAAAGCTTGAAAGAGAAAACCCAACTGTGGGTCAAATGAAAAGATTTATACCGATTTTTTCTTGGTCGAAGGCAGCACAAAATATTTAGTGATCAAAATTGACGCTTTGGCCGAGCCTCAGCAACGCTTACTCGGATTGCCCTGCCATTAAGGTCCTGCATTTGAAATGAGATGGTCAAGTCGACATCAAAGGAAATATTCCAGACTTACTATGTATCTTCTGCGAGTTAAAATTTGATTGCAGAAGATAGAATGCATGAATCGATTCAAATGAAAATGCCCAAAAAAATTACAGTCATTACTGCCACTAAAATAAATTTAATAATATCATAATTGACGACGAAAAAATAATTCTCAAATGTTAAAAAAGTAACAAATGGACTGTCCAACATTTCTAAACTTGAAACTCCCTTTCAACTAGATCAACGTATGTATAAAAGAACTAATAAACAAATATTAGACTTCCTGCACTCATAGCAGCTCTGATGAACCATATGATTATAATACTTGATCGAGTATTGCAGAGACCTTAAGATGCCCATCTACATAATAAAGTACAACAATTTTAAATTTTAGAGACAAAGAGCGGCTCAGATTGTTTCTAAAAAAGTTATCATTCAACGGACTGCGTTATCTCAAACTGTCTCAAGTTATTAACGTCTCAGATCGTTTTAATCCGACGTACTACATTAACTCTTTTGAAATATTTTTGCTGCTCAAAATTTATAATTTCTAAAATTGATATTCCAAAATTTAATTCCTTCAAATCTTTTCCTTAAATCAAGCAAATATTTCTCTCTTATTCCGCTGTATCTTTCTCACACTCAATTCACGCAAAAAATATCAATTTTTCACAATATTTTTCTCAGTATCTCACAAAAATATTAGTGTTTGATTCAAGCAAATACTATATTTCTCTGTAGATAAATAGCATATATCACAGAAAGAGATAGTATATTACAAAAATATTCCTTTATATCTCTCTCTAAAGGAAAATTATGTAATAAATATTAGATAGATAGTATATATCACGAAAATATTCATCTATATTTCTCTCTTTCATTCAAGCAATACTACAAACACGAATCATACAAATTCAATAGTCAATTTTATTTTTTTCCATAATCAATTAAAAAAAACATAACTTGCAAAAAATATAATATAACAAGAAAATATGCTTAACATGTAAAATATACAAGATTAAATTCAGGTTATTAGGCAACTTAGATACCAAAGAGATATATTAAAAAAATATACTTAACATTTAAAATATGTAAGATTAAATTCATAAACAAACACGAATCATACAAATTCAATATTTAGTGAACAACATAAAGCAACAATATTTACTAAATAATCCAAATCTAAATACTCGAGAAAAATGATACAAAATTACAAACAGAGAAACGATACAAAATTATAAACAATACTATGAACACAAATCATACAAATTTAATATTTAGTGAACAACATGAAACAACATTCTTTACTAAATAATCCAATACTAAATAATGTTTAGTTTAAGAAAATATGTTAAAAATATAAATAACCAAGAAGAATGATATAAAATTAAAAGCACTACTATAAACTCAAATCATATAAATTCAATAGTCAATTTTATTTTTTCCATAATCAACAAAAAAAAAAGCATAACTTGCAAAAAATCTAATTTAACAAAGAAAATATGATTAACATGTAAAATATACGATATTAAATTCAAGTTATTAGACAATTCAGATATTAAGAATATATTAAAAAAAAATGTTTAACATCTATATAATAAAACAGGAATGTGTTTGAATTTTATCTCAATCATATTTTTCTTCTCAAAACCATCACCAATCACTTACATTACCTATCATCTCTTTGTTAGACTCAAACATTAAATCACATTACTTATTTCTATCACATGTTTAATCATTTATATATTTTTTCCTTAAAAATATCACATCACTCATTTTTATAATATATTTAATCATTTAATATTTGATTAATTCATAATTAATATATTTTGAAAAAATTTAATATAGTGGAATTGATTTTTTGGACGCACGAATTTTATATTTTATCGTGCCTTCAGACACAGGTTATGACTAGTTTAAAATATACAAGATTAAATTCATATACAAACACGAATCACATAAATTCAATATTTAGTGAACAACACAAAGTAACAATATTTAGTAAACAATCCAAATCTAAATATCTAAGAAAAATGATACAAAATTACAAATTAGAGAAACGATACAAAATTATAAGTAATATTATGAACACGAATCATACAAATTCAATATTTAGTGAACAACATAAAGCAACAATATTTACTAGATAATCTAATACTAAATAACGTTTAGTTTAAAAAAATATATTAAAAACATAAATACCCGAGAAGAATGATATAAAATTAAAAACACTACTATAAAGTCGAATTATATAAATTCAACAGTCAGGTCATATCTTTTAAAAGTCAGTTGAATTTTTTATAGTTATATTTGGTCATTTGACAACATCTGCAGACTTAGTTTATTTGTGGGAGTGTTGTTTTAATTTTCATTATTAGTTATGAATTCTATTATTATTTAAATAAATTTAATTATGACTGTTAAAATCGTGAATTTTAAATCAAAAATAAAACATTAAATATTGTCAACTGATATAATTTTTCAGATATTTAAATTATTATGTTTCAGTAGTTATAACATAATTTTCATGGCATAACAATTAACATAATTTTGCATGTAGGTTGATGTTATAAAAAATATTAACGGACTCATTTTGTTCGTCATTTATTACAATGTTATATTTTACTTTACATTTATGTATGAGCAAATATTTGTAACTAATTTATGAGTAATACCATACCTTCGGGCACGGGCAATTGCTAATAACGTTATATGATGGGCAACTAGAAATATTCATCAACAAAACCAAGAGTATTAGTGTTCTAAAAAATCTTAACCACCATATAAACAAACATAACTATTGCTCGATTTTTATTTAAGAAAAATCATAAATGACCATGAAGACATATACTTGATATCTATGATCTATCATAGGCAAATAATTAAATAAACATAATAAAAAGGATTATCATAAACTTACAGCACCATCCAATGATTCAATTGCACTATTGACCTCATCAGCCGAACTGTAAGTTACAAATCCGAAACCCCTTGATCTGCCACTCTCTCTGTCATAGACGACCTTAGCTTCCATAACTTTTCCTTGTCCACTAAACAGGGTTTCAAGTGCTAGATTGTCAACACCCCAGTCAAGGTTTCCCACATAAAGCCGGTTAGAGCTGTCAAAACTTGTCCCACCCCTAGCTCCTCTGAAGGAAGACTCCCTGCTAAAAGAAGACTCTTCTCTCTGTGGGGGAGGACCAGAATTCACCCGCAAAACCCTCCCCTCAAGTTCCTGCAAATTGCATAAACTAGATCAGATGCAGTAAACCATGCTAAAAAATGACATTATTTCTTAAGATGAATCAGAAAATTTTTATAAGGTATATTGCTATTGTTGTTGTCAAGATTCAGACTCAAACAAGAATAAACACCAAGTTAGATCCAATTTCCACAAATGGGATGCACTTGTATTGTAAAATCTAATGAGCTGACTTGCACAATATCAAGTAACAAAGTTTTCAAATTTTCATTTAAAAGCTAATGTAAAAGTTGACGCATTGTGTTATGGAAGATATACCCTCTCAACGAAACTAGGGGTGACAAATTTCAACACGACACAAATAAATGAGTTTGAATCGACTATTTTTTAATGAAGCTCGTATATGACACGACCCGTCAACACAAAATATTAATGCGTCGTATAGGTTCAACCCGTCTAACCCGAAATTGACCGGTGCATCTAATCGGATTCACTTGAACCCGATTAACCTATTTTAGACAAGCGCTGGCACTATATAAATAAAAGGCATTGGATCCCAAACTCTAATCCCCTCACTTTTTCATATTTCTGCTTCCCTCTCCCACTGGTTCGATCAATTGCCATTCGTAGGCCCTCACTCACCACCACCAAGACCATCACCACCGTCAGCATCCACCACCATCTCTCTCTTTCTCTCTTCCCGTTAATCTATATAAGCCGGTCGACAAATCAACAACGTGAAACCTACCATCTTAGATCTAGTCTCTACCATCTTAGATCTAACCCTACCATCTCAGATCTAGACAAAAATCTCTTATTCGAATCCACATACTCACATCCATCACCTCCACTCCAACCAGGTGATCACCAGTTGCATCATCCACAAAGACCACAACACTCCACCATTCATCATCTCAGATTTCTTTTTTTTTATTATTATTATTCCAAGTATCTTATGTTGCATTATTTAGTTCCCTTTTCAACTTGTATTTGTTTAATTAGAAATGGGTTATATTCAATGTGTTTGAGTATATCATTTTCGAATAGGAAGTATATCATTCAATGTGATTGGTTGTAATACTTTTAGGAACTGTGTTGTGTGGCTGTGGAGGTGAATAAGAGGTGTACACAAGGAGGAGGTGGGGTAATGGGTTTGCTTCGGAATGGGCAATGGAGGTTTTTTTGCTTGTGGGTGTGGAGGCGGAGAGAATCGGGTATGGAGTGCAAGTGGAGGTGAAAATCGGGTGTTTTGCTTGCGGGTGTGGAAGTGAAAATTGGGTCGTGTTGGGCAGTCAGATGGGTCGTGTTAGGCGGTTGAGTCGTGTTCACCTAAACACGACCTTCATAAACCTAGTATCACGAGTCATGTCAGATTACTCCTATTTAGAAACAAGTCATGTTCATGTCCTAATGACTTGACCATTTCTTATTTGGGTTGAGGTGTCTTGAACCCGAACTCGATATGACACAACCCAAACACAACACAATTGTCACTCCGTAAAAAAACATTGTAAGTCTTTGGGTCATATCCTTGTGGCGAAATACGAATAAACACAGCAACTGGAACCTTAGAAAATAAACAAAATTTTGAAACAAAGGAACCAAACTAATGATGCTCACATAGCCATCGAATCGCTGAGCAGCTGCTTTGACTTCCTCAACAGTAGACATCGTCACAAAACCAAATCCACGGCTTCTCCCTGTAAACTTGTCATATATAACCTGCCAAAGCGAATCACTTCAGTACGCCTACAATTTATCATCATTTTTCAATAAAATCCGGAGTTACCTAAAATCCAAATTCCCACCCCCCCCCCCCAAAAAAAAAAAAAAAACAAAAACACACACCAAACAAAAGCAAAAAGAAAAGACTAATTACCCTAAAATGGTTTCACTAAAATATATATCACTAGAACCTACAACTAGAATGTCCAGATACATGTGCTGCTTATAGTTAAAAATACACATGCAATTTAGAAATAAAGAGTTATTAAAAGGCTTCATTTGTTTAGTAAGTAGATGGATAGATTTCGAAGAAAATATACATCAAGTTCAAAATTTTCACTTGAAGCAATCCAGCAAAAATACACACACCAAATTGAGTACTAAATATACCCCAAACCCATTAAAAATCCTAAAATTTTGACATCAAATTCATACATCTCTAAAATTTAGAAACATGAATAACAGTAATAATAGTAATACCTCAACCATCTCTACATTACCGAACCGTTCAAACAACCCAGCCAGAGCGGCACTGTCCACACTAAAGGGCAAGTTACCCACGAAGAGTTTGAGGTCTGGTGAGAAACTACGCCCCTCTGAGTCATCACCGAAGACCTCCTCTTCTTCTTCTAATTGCCGAAAATTAGAAGAAACTGCGACTTTTCGTACCAAGCGAGACGACGACACTTCGAGAAGTTTATATGAAGAAGACAGGGAAATGAGCTTGGGAAGAGGCTTGAGCGAGGTAGTAGAGAAGAGATAGACTGAAGTAGTAGTGGGTTTGGAAGAGGAGAGAGACAGGGTTTGGGGAGTGAGAGAGAAGAAATGGATGGACGAAGCAGAGGAGGCCATGGCAATGGCAGTATTAGCGAGTAGGGTTGTCTTAGCAGATAAGGTTTTGGGAAGGGCCGAAGATCTCGTTTTATAAGAGAGGCTGAGATATTTTGAGAAAGAGAGAGAGAGGGAGAGAGAGAGAGAGAGAGAGAGAGAGGGGAGTAGGATGGTAGGGGATCGGAGAAAAAAGATATTCGTTTAAATCTATTTTATTTGAATCGAAGATGAATTATATTTATTGGACGGTTGACGTATATGAAAATACTTATATAAATTTGTATGAAGATGAAGGCGGGATGAACTTATCCTTATCCCGCCCCGCCCCGCCCCGTCCCCATCCCCGAACCAGTTAAATATATATATATGTCACGTATAGGTTATTACATTGATCACGTATAAGCTTCTTTACTTATTGTGAGAATAATTTGGCTTGGGGTAAAATCATGTATAGGTCATTACATTGATCAATTACTTTTTTATTACATTCTGTATTTTTTAACAAATTATAGAGGAGTTCACCGGATGAAATTCTTGGCATATGTGTGTTTATAAATTTTTATTAGAAGTTTCAGAACCATAAATACTTTTACATTGGGCTTTTTTCATCTTTTACTTTCATTCCATATGTGATGTCATTAATGGATGTCATAATTTCAGAACACATAAATGACATATATATAGGTTTCCTTCTTTATGTCATTTTAGCAAATGTTTTTGGAACATTTATGCAGGCCATGGCCTTGTTGAGACAGACCACAACAATGTCCATAGAATTGTAGCTAATTATCTCTCAGAATAATTTCCCTTGTTTCAACATAATTGAGTGTAAAGAATAAAAGACACACTTTTTATATTGTTACATCTTCTATTCTGATCATAGCAAAAAAAAAAAAATTAAGCTATTTTAATTCTTTATGACTTTGCTTGTGCTTGGGCGGGTACGGGGGAAGCGGGGACGGGAACGGGGTAGTCGTCCTTGGGACATGTCTTGTTTAGATCAGTGAAGTCTACGCAGATACGCCATTTTCCCCCTTCTTCTTCGCGCAAACCGTGTTAGACAACCATTCTAGGAACTGTATCTCTCGAATGGCATTGGCCTTCAGGAGTTTATCGATTTCTTCATTGATCGCGCGGCGTGTGATGCGGGGCCATGCGTCGTGGCTTCTGTTTTACTGGCTTGTGCGCCGGGTCAACATTCAGCTTGTATGTGATTATTTCGGGGTCCACTCTCGTCATTTTCATTGTGTTCCAAGCGAACACGTCTGCATTTCTCCTCAGGAACTCAATCATCTCCTCCTGTTCGGCTGCGAGCATCGCGGTTCCAACTAAGAAGTATCTTTCTTCTTCTCCCTCCACCAAGGGCACTTTTCGGAGGTCCTCCACCGACCGTTCCGTTGGGTCAATCCGGGGGTCATCCATTTCTGGACGCCCCAACTGTGATTGCTATTGTTCCAGGATCTCTTCCGGAGCTCGCCCATTTTCTTGGGTGAAAGCCCCTACTCTAACAGCTAAATAAAAACAGTTTTTTGCGAACGCTTGGTCCCCTCAGATCTCCATGATCCCCTCTGGCGTAGCGAATTTTAGTTTATGGTGATAAGTGGAGTGCACCACTCCCAAAGCATGCAGTCATGCTCGTCCCATGATCACATTGTAGGGAGAGTCCTTATTAATCACGACAAACTCGGTGTTGATGGTGAAGGGACCTGTGACAACTGGCAATGTGATTTTGCCTATGGGCAGGGCGAACAAGCCGTTGAATCCGATGAGAAGTGTCCTGACCTTGGTGAGGTCCTTGAGGCCAAGACTCATCCGTTTTAAAGTGTCAGAGTACATCACTTCCGAGGAACTTTCGGAGTCTATCAACACCCTCTTGATGTCAAACTTACCTATCTTCAGAGGTTATGACAAGGGTGTCATTATAAGGAGTCACCACGCCTGTCAAGTCCGCGTCGGAGAACGTGATGCTAGGCTCGCCAATCCTGGCCCTTTTACTGGGCGGCCCCCCATCATCCTCAGCTATCTCCCTTGTAAAAGCTACCCTCTTGAGATCGGACTCGAGTTCCTTGGACGTGGGGCGATCTAGCAAACATACATGGATCACATCTATAACGTTGTCCGGCTCCTCGGTTGGGGCAGGGGTGTGTCTCTCTTCCGGCCTGGGCTCTATGTATTCTTTTAAGTATCCGTCTCGGACCAATCTTTCCAAGAAAGATTTGTATACCCTGCAGCTTTCGGTGCGATGACCGAAATCCCGGTGATAGGAACACCTAACCTTTTGATCACGGGTGGAGGGATCGCTCTGCATCCTGGGCGGCCACTTGAAGAATGACTCATGTTTGATCTTATAGAGCAACTTGAAGATGGGTTCCTTGAACATAGTGTGAACTCTTTTGAATGAGCCCCCCGGAGGGGGTAACAGTCCCTTTCGGGAAGTATCCTCCCGCTCCCTCTCTTTTCTCTTAGGTTGGAGGGTTCTGCCTTTGCTGCTTCCCATCTCGTCCTCAATCCTAGAGTACTTGTTTATCCGGACCATCAGCTCGCCCATATTCGAAGGAGTCTTTTTGGTCAGGGATCGGTACAGGTCTGTGTCCCTTGCCAAGTCGAGCCTAAAAGACGCCGCTGCCATGACTTTCGAGCAACCCTCTACCTCATTAACCTCTTCCCAGTACCGGATGACGTACTGGCGAAGGGTCTCGGATTCCCTCCGTCTGAGCGTTAGCAATGATCCAACGTCTTTAGGCCGCTTACTCCCCGTAATGAATCGAGCCAGGAATTGCCGAGTCAATTTCTTCCACGATTCAATGCTGTTGGGGGGAAGCGCCTTGAACCACTTCATCGTAGAGTCCCCCAAGCTCATAGGAAACACTCGGCAGAGAAACCATTGGTCTGAATGATACAGGGACATCATTTGCTTGTATTATCTGAGGTGGGCTTCGGGATTGGACCGTCCATCATAAGTTTTGAACCTCGGCACGACGAACTTTTTTAGAACCTCCATCTCTCCGATATCCCTGGTAAAGGGTGTTTGTATGACCTCGTCTTCAACCTCATCCTGGACAGCCTTACTTTTTCTCCTGGATTCCAACCGGGCTCTGAGATCAATTTTCTCCCCAACAGGATGTCTTCTGAAGTCTCTGAGTTCATCAATAGGTCCCCCGTTTCCTGGGCGTCGCGTGGATAGGGTTGAATTTTCCTCGGACTCATCTCCCTTCCTCCGTCTCGACAATCCTCGTCGGAGGTCGTCCAGGGCTAAAGGTCTTGCCTTCCTAGAATGGTCGTTAAGAGGGTGCTTGTTGGCTCTTGGTCGCTTTGGGGCCCTAGAGCTTTCTGCCTTGTTATTTAAATGATTCCTTAGATCCTCCGTTTCTGCCTCCTGGGCGGGGAGCCCACGAGAAAGGAATGAGTCCTTCGACCCTTCGCCGGAGGCAACGAATTCGTTGAGCCGGCTTAGGATGTTCACATTGTCCTTTTTCAACTATCATAATCGATCCCCAAACTTTTCTTCAATCACCTCCGCCAGTTGACGAGCCAAGGGGGGGGAGGATCCTCCTGACCTGATGCCCATAGTGGTTTGAGGAGTAAGCCCTCTTGACTGAATAGAGGCATTTCTATTCCCATCAGTGTGATCCCTCCCTCCATGGTGACATGGAGCTTGTAATTCAAGCCTTCTTTGCTGGGGACATTTCCCTTTTTGTCGAGTATTCACCATGGTCACTGTTCTTTATAGAGAAAAAACTAGAAAAACTAGTCGTTTCCCACAGACGGCGCCAGATTGTGCGTACTAGATCTTGCACAATATAAACACGATAACATATCTCTCTCTTGGTGAACTCAAGTGAGTCAGTTGAGTGGTCAACTCTACTACTTAGAACAGCCTGTGAGGTCCGGTGGTAGCCTGGAACGATAATGGGAGACCCTCGTGGATCAACCGAACGATCCGGTAAGGTTGAGGAAGGTTTCTGGAACAAAGAAAGACAAGTTAGAAGGGCGCCAGAGTGTTTTTCGGCGTATCCTCTCCGACGATCAAGTTAGTTTTTGAGAGAGAGGAAGAAGAAAACACTGAGTATATGTTTGAGAAAAGGTTTCACCTTCTCTTTCTCGCTTTCTATCTTTCCTTTTGTGAGGAGTATTTATACCTTAAAAACTCATGATTGCTGTCAGTGTGGTCAGTAGGTGATTATTAGATACGGGCAACGTGCGCCCTGATTCTTATGAGGAATGTCTTCTCTTTTAACTGCTCGGGATCCTGAGCAACCAAGGCTGTGTCATCGGTCTGTCGACTGTTTAATGGGCTCCTCTCGGCAAGGATGTAATAAATGCCCAGCCTTAGAGACATTTATTACCTTTCACTTCCGAGCCTTATCGCATTAAATGTTGTCTCATCAAGGGAATGGTGTAATTAAATGCTTGCTTTCCCAAGTCGTGTGTCAACAAGGACATCTGTTTTTTTTGTCTCTGATGTGACACAATATGTCACGCGTCCATTCCCCATTGGCGGTGTCCCCTGCCTTCTTGTGCCTTCTGACACCAATTGTGTAAGACAAGGTCATGATGACTAACATAGCCTAGCCTAGGCTAGTGACCTGTACATCAATAGCCTCTGCAGGAGCAGAGAACGCCATCCTAGACGGGTACATCTCGGTACCGAGGGAGAATGGTACATGTAGGGACCGATGTACCCTATATGACCTCGAGGGATACGTGTCAGTATGTAACGTACTGGGTGTCATTGATCCCTATGAACAGTACCTCGGGGGGGACAGGAACTTGTGATCCGACAGGTACGTGTCGTGTTTATAGGAAAAGAATTTACTGATGCCGAGGACACGTGTCTTCATCTTGGAGTACTTGGAAATTTCCCATCAATATATATATATATATATACATATAAGTCACGTATAGGTTATTACATTGATCACGTATAAGCTTCTTTACTTATTGTGAGAATAATTTGGCTTGGGGTAAAATCATGTATAGGTCATTACATTGATCAATTACTTTTTCATTACATTCTGTATTTTTTTACAAATTATAGAGGAGTTCACCGGAT